ATTGCAGTACCTTGAAGTAGTCTTTTGTTTTCTTTCACTAACGGAGCTCATGAGATTTCTATTGAGTTTTGTGTTTTGAAGTTTTCAAGTTTTGGGTGAAATTCTTTTGATGAATTATGGAACAAAGAGTGGCAAGATCCTAAGCTTTGGGATGCCCATGGCACCCCCAAGATAATGCAAGAACACCAAAAAGTCAAAGCTTGGGGATGCCCCGGAAGGCATCCCCTCTTTCGTCTACTTCCATCGGTAATTTACTTGGAGCTATATTTTTATTCACCACATGATATGTGTTTTGCTTGGAGCGTCTTTATTATTTGTGTCTTTGCTTGTTAGTTTCCCACAATCATCCTTGCTGTACACACCTTTTGAGAGAGTCATACATGATTTAGAATTTGCTAGAATACTCATTGTGCTTCACTTATATCTTTTTGAGCTTGATAGTTTTGCTCATTGTGCTTCACTTATATCTTTTGAGCTTGATATTTTTGCTCTAGTGCTTCACTTAGATCTTTTAGAGCACGGTGGTGGATTTGTTTTAAAGAAACTATTGATCTCTCATGCTTCACTTAGATTATTTTGAGAGTCGTTAATAGCATGGTAAATTGCTTAATGTTAATATACTTGGTATTCAAAGACATGTGAAACTTTCTTTTGAGTGAATTGAATGCTAAGATAAGTTTGATGCTTGATAATTGTTTTGAGATATGGAGGTGATAATATCAAAGTCATGCTAGTTGGGTGATTATGAATTTGAGAAATGCTTATGTTGAAGTTTGCAAGTCCCGTAGCATGCACGTATGGTTAAAGTTGTGTAACAAATTTGAAACATGAAGTGTACCTGGCTTGTGCATCCTTATGAGTGGCGGTCGGGGACGAGCGATGGTCTTTTCCTACCAATCTATCCCCCTAGGAGCATGCGCATAGTACTTGATTTTTTGATGACTTCTAAATCTTTGCAATAAGTATATGAGTTATTTTGACTAATGTTGAGTCCATGGATTATACGCACTCTCACCTTTCCGCCTTTACTAGCCTCTTCGGTACCATGCATTGCCCTTTTTCACCTTGAGAGTTGGCGCAAACTTCGTCGGTGCATCCAAACCCCGTGATACAATACGCTCTATCACACATAAACCTCCTTATATCTTCCTCAAAACAGCCACCATACCTACCTATTATGGCATTTCCATAGCCATTCCGAGATATATTGCCATGCAACTTCCACCATCATCATCATGACATACATTACTTTTGTCATATTGCCATTGCATGATCATGTAGTTGACATCGTATTTGTGGCAAGGCCACCATTGCATTATTTTTTATACATGTCGTTCTTGATTCATTGCACCATCCCGGTACACCGTCGGAGGCATTCATATAGAGTCATATCTTGTTCTAAGTTTCGAGTTGTAATCCTTATGTTGTAATCAATAGAAGTGTGATGATCATCATTATTAGAGCATTGCCCAAAAGAAGAAAAAAAAGAAAGAAAAAAAGAAGAAAGGCAAAAAAAAGGCCCCAAAAAAATGCCAAAAAAAGAAGAAAAAAAAAGAAAAGAAAAAAGGGCAATGCTACTATCTCTTTTTCCACACTTGTGCTTCAAAGTAGCACCTTGTTTCTCATGTAGTGAGTCTCATAAGTTGTTGTCTTTTTATACTAGTGGGAATCTTTCATTATAGAACTTGGCTTGTATATTCCTACGATGGGTTTCCTCAAATGCCCTAGGTCTTCATAAGCAAGTAAGTTGGATGCACACCCACTAGTTTTCTTTTGTTGAGCATTCATAGCTCTAGTGCATCCGTTGCATGGCAATCCCTACTCCTCATGTTGACATCAATTGATGGACATCTCCATAGCCCGTTGATTATCCTCGTCAATATGAGACTTTTTCATTTTTTGTTTTCTCCACACAATTCCCATCATCATATTCTATTCCACCCATAGTGCTATATCCATGGTTCACGCTCATGTATTGCGTGAAGGTTGAAAAAGTTTGAGATTATTTAAGTATGAAATAATTGCTTGGCTTGTCATCGGGGGTATAGAAGTTGGGAACATCTTTGTGTGACGAAAATGAAGCATAGCCTAACTATATGATTTTGTAGGGATGAACTTTCTTTTACCATGTTATTTTGAGAAGACATAATTGCTTTGATTAGTATGCTTGAAGTATTATTATTTTTGTGTCAATATGAACTTTTGTCTTGAATCTTTCGGATCCGAATATTCATATCACAATCAAGAATATTTACATTGAAATTATGCCAAAGTATCACTCCGCATCAAAAATTCTTTTTTATCATTTACCTACTCGAGGACGAGCAGGAATTAAGCTTGGGGATGCTTGATACGTCTCCAACGTATCTATAATTTTTGATTACTCCATGCTACTTTGTCTACTGTTTTGGACTATATTGGGCTTTATTTTCCACTTTTATATTATTTTTGGGACTAACCTATTAACCGGAGGCCCAACCCAGAATTGCTGTTTTTTGCCTATTTCAGTATTTCGAAGAAACAGAATATCAAACGAAGTCCAAACGGAATAAAACCTCCGGGAACGTGATTTCGTCACCGAACGGTGATCCAGGAGACTTGGACCCTACTCCAAGAAGTGCCAGAGGCGGTCACGAGGGTGGAGGGCGCCCCCCTGGGCGCGCCCCCCTGCGTCGTGGGCCTCCTGTTGCTCCACCGACGTACTCCTTCCTCCTATATATACCTACGTACCCCCGTCAGATAAGAAGGGGAGCCAAAAACCTAATTCCACCGTCGCAACCTTCTGTATCCGCGAGATCCCATCTTGGGGCCTGTTCCGGAGCTCCGCCGAAGAGGGCTTCTACATCAACACCATAGCCTCTCCGATGAAGTGTGAGTAGTTTACTTCAGACCTTCGGGTCCATAGTTATTAGCTAGATGACTTCTTCTCTCTTTTTGGATCTCAATACAATGTTCTCCCCCTCTCTCGTGGAGATCTATTCGATGTAATATTCTTTTTGCGGTGTGTTTGTTGAGACCGATGAATTGTGGGTTTATGATCCAGCTTATCTATGAACAATATTTGATTCTTCTCTGAATTTTTTTATGTATGATTGAGTTATCTTTACAAGTCTCTTTGAATTATCCGTTTGGTTTGGCCAACTAGATTGGTAGTTCTTGCAATGGGAGAAGTGTTTAGCTTTGGGTTCAATCTTGCGGTGTCCTTACCCAGTGACAGAAAGGGTTGCAAGGCACGTATTGTATTGTTGCCATCGAGGATAACAAGATGGGTTTTTTTATCATATTGCATGAATTTATCCCTCTACATCATGTCATCTTGCTTAAGGCGTTACTCTGTTTTACTTAATACTCTAGATGCATGCTGGATAGCGGTCGATGAGTGGAGTAATAGTAGTAGATGCAGAATCGTTTCGATCTACTTGTCTTGGACGTGATGCCTATATACATGATCATACCTAGATAATCTCATAATTATTCGCTTTTCTAACAATTGCTCAATAGTAATTTGTTCACCCACCGTAGAATACGTATGCTCTTGAGAGAAGCCACTAGTGAAACCTATGGTCCCCGGGTCTATTCTTATCATATCAATCTCCACTACTTTATTTACTTGCCTTGTTTTAACTTTGCCTTTTACTTTTTACTTTGCATCTCTATATTAAAAACACCAAAAATATTATTTATCATCTCTATCAGATCTCACCCTCGTAAATGACCGTGAAGGGATTGACAACCCCTAATCGCGTTGGTTGCGAGTAGCTATCGTTTTATGTAGGTACGAGGGACTCGTGCGTGATCTCCTACTGGATTGATACCTTGGTTCTCAAAAACTAAGGAAAATACTTACGCTACTTTACTGCATCATCCTCTCCTCTTCGGGGAAATCCAACGCAGTGCTCAAGAGGTAGCATGCTCTGTATGCAAGCATGCTCATAGCTATCGTGCACTTCTGGAGTGAGGTGAATCCAAGTTTGCCGGTGCAATCCTTCTTGTACTTGAAGTATCTGTCGAACTCATAGATGAAATTCACAATCCTGAGGAAGAGCTTTCGTCTCATTCGATAACGGCGCCGAAATACTTTCTTGCCATGCAGTGGAGCGTCGGCGAAGTAGTCGGCGTAGAGTAAGCAATAGCCTTCTAATCGATGCCTCTGCTTTGCCTTTTGCCGGCCCGGCGCCAAGCCACCTCGCCGCGGCTTTGCATTGCTCGCGAACAGGTCGGCCAGAGAGGCGAGGACCATGAGGCGCTCTTCGTCCCGGACGTCGGCATCGGCTTCCTCCTCCAGCAGGGTCACAAATGCCTCCTCGTCGTCCGAGTCCATCACCGAGCAGACAAAACGCCGAACACCTGGCGGGCGTGGTAGGCGCGCAACTGCCGGTAACCCTGCCCTGCGTGGCCGGAGCGCCGGAAAGCTCACCCATGAGCGAAATGGAGGCTTCCGCGGCGAACCCTCTCTTTTTTTCGGCAAGGGAATGGCCTTTCTAGCGGCGGCGGGTAGGTAGACGGCGCCGGGATCGGCACGGCGGCGAAAGGCGTGTGCGCGGGGGCGGGCGAATCTGGACGAGCAACTGGTTTTTTTTTTCGACGCCGATGCAGAAAAAGTCGCCCTGGAACTTGAATTTTTCAACTGTTCGCGGTCCATGCATGCAAGCATCGCTCCGGCCACACTCGACCAGCGGAGGAGCCCAGTGAGTGGTCTTTATACAAGTGCCGCCTCTATGCACCAACAAACAAGTTGCAACATAACTAAAGTAATAAACAAGTTGCAATATTGAAACTGTTAACAATGGATGCCACGACAACATGCAAATATAACTGATAAATTTGCTCACGAAGAACTCAATTATAATCAACAAATTTACAAACTCAATGGTTCACTCCCGCAATTATTTACCACCATGGCAATACGAATTGCTCAAGGATAACGCTCCCAATCCGTTCTCAAAGATGAAAAAGAACAAAGAAAGAAAAAAAGAGAAATAACTTTATACAAGTAAATTCTACTGGTCAATATAAGCTAGACGTGTGTGCATGCAATCTGTTGTGCACCGACGATCAAACGCCCGCTCTACTCTTTCGTGCACGTGCGCCATCACCGGACACTCACCGGCGCTGCTGCTCACCCTGGAGTTGGAGCTGGAGTGCTTGGAGCTGGAACTGAAATTGGGGATGGAGAGGACGAGATCCTTGACTTCTGAGCTGGACGACCGAATTTGCGAGAGCATCTTGCTGAACTTGGGCTTCCTCCTCGTGATGGCGATGGAGACATCGTTGGGGAAGAGGTCTCCACACACGAAGGCATGGTACAAGGTCGTGGCCAGCACGGCGGTCACGGTCACGACAGCGATCATTGCCAGCCCCACCGCTAGTGCCCGCGTCAACAGGTTGTCCACCTCTGATGCATACAACGCCGTCGCTAGGGCCACACTTGTCATCGGGAATGTGTAGGCCCACCAGGCCAGCGAGAATCTAAACCCCGTGAAGAGGTTGATGCGCACTACTAGCGACATGTAGAGGAAGAGAGAGATGAAGTAAAGGAGCTTCGCGCCATCATTGAACTCGCCAGAGATCCTGGCCCAGGCCATGGACGCGACGCTCGGCGCGGCGACAAAGAGGAAGAAGACTGGGTGGAGCTCCTTGGGGAGCTGCACGTTGGTGGGGAGCCTCTGATAGAGAGTGACGAAGAGCACGGCGTAGTGCGCGAGCCCGACGGCGAAGAAGAAGATGGGCAGCTCCCTGAGGCCCATCTTGGCGCCGAGCAGTGCACCGACAAAGTTGCCGACAACGGCAAGGTGGTTCGACGGGTTGGCCACTTTGGAGAGGCGCCGCTCTCCACTAGACATCCACTGTCCGTAGATCTTTAGGCCGAGGCAGAGGATGGGTAACATGAGGAGGTTATAGACGACGTGGTGGATCTCCCACACTGGATGCGGCTCACCCTTGACGAGAAAGAGACAAGCGATCGAGGGCGCGAAGAAGAAGTTGACGCGCACGGGATGGTGGAACTCACGGCGGACAGCCTCGAAGTAGAAGATGACCTTGAGGAGGTAGGTGACGGAGACAATGACGGTGAGGGCGACGGAGACCCACCAGAAGACGTAGTTGGCGGTGGGGTGCACGTGCAGGAACGCCATGGAGGGCTCCGACTCGAGCGTCTTCCACAACATGGCCTGGCTGTTCACACCGAGGCACATCCCGAACGCGCTGATCGGGAACCGGAGAAGGAATGGCCACGTCTCGTCCTTGGGAAGCACCGGGACCTCCGTCGACTGTGCACATCCACGCCGTTGTTAGAGACGATTACCCATGATTTTGGCAGAAAAATAAAATAATTTGGAATGGATGTTCGTTGGTACATACTCGAAGGGTGTCAAGCTCGGGGCCCTCGAGTGCGGCGAAGTAGCGGTCGGCTGTGGGCACGTCATCGTCATCAGAGTTAGACGAGGCGCCGTCATCAAGGTGAGGCGCCGGCGGATCCTGCGGCACTCCTCGGAGGGTGGAGAGCTGCCGCTCAAGGCGACCAGAGAAGGTCTTGAACTGGTCGAACCGGCGGTCACGCTCCCGCGTGCTGTCGCTCCGCGGCACCGCCGGTACCTCCCCGCCACCTCTGAGCACCATAGACGGCTGTGCGTGGAGCTGCGGCTGCTGAACCTCACTTAGTGGTGTCTCACTTGGTGGTGCGACGCCGGCGTCCTTGGCACGGGGCAATCTGCTGGGGTGGAGCGCTGACCGCGAGTCCGGCACGTTGATGGAGACAGACAACGGCGGCGTGTCCCCGCACGTCGTCGACTCACCGTGAGCCGCCGCCACGGCCGCCTCCTTCATCCTGCCGCCACCAGCAGCCGTAGCCTCCGTCAAAACGTCATGGTGGTTACCGGCGCCCACCATTATTCTTATCCAGCTGATGCTGAACTCCTCTCTCACTGGATCGACCGTGGACTGCTGGAGACGTAGGCAATGCTGGCAACACGGACAGGTAGTTGGCCGTGAATTGCACCGTGCGTGGGCACCTTATGTATACGTACACAAATGGCGCGAGTGGGACAAACGACCAGCAACAGAGGGACCGCCCGGGCACGCGGATATGATCATAAGTAGCGCGCTGGCGGGCCGGCAGTCAAAAGATTGATTTGCCGAGGCGGCTGGTATCCTTATACAACTATTGTCATCAAACTTGAGTGCAAGTTAGATTCACACCAGGAGTATTTGGTGTTTAGCCTATGTACCTTGCT